AATTTTTGCTTTTAAAATGACTTTACCGATTTTGCTTGAGTTTGATTAGTCGGGTTAATTGTCCCCATTGAGTATTAATTTGACCTTATCAAGTGCATGTTCTTCATTCAATTCTGAAATGATATTAGTAAGCAATTACATCTAAGGATACATAATTAGATGCAATCCATTGGAACTCCAGTAGAGTACCATCAATTTTTTATGAAAAAAATTATTTTCGATAAATTTTTAATAAATTTTAAGGCACGCTATTACATAAAATTGCCCTAATAACATATTTATTTGGCTTTGCAGAGCATATATAATGATTTCTCAATTTGAAGTTATGATTTTTTAAATTTTATGATCCAAGGTAATCTTTTTGGGGACATTGATTACTTTACCAACCCAAATAGTACACATTTTGTTGAATAAACCTCCCACAGTTGAAGTCCAGATCATTGCTCGCGGCTCAGAGTTTGCGCCAACTTTAGACCAAGCTAGTGAAAGGAAAGGGGAACTGGAAGTGCACGCCGATATACGATAACGCTTGGCAAGTAATCTATTTAATAACGCCAACAAACCTCTGAAATATAGCAAAGAAGAGGATGATCTTTTTTCACTTTTCGATTTCGGTTTCACAAAACGGTCCTTATTCAAGCCAATGTTTGGGGTGTGCGATAGACCAACTACTACTTGGTGCACCTTGGGCAACGTATACTCATACGGCAAAAAGGTCAATTAACCGGCAGTTGACTTCTAATTTCAAACTACCATGGCCGACTGCATGCCATATTTGATCTCTTCCGCAGTACTCATCTTATCTTTTCTTCGCCTTTGTGTCTGTCTGTCTCCATTAAATCTGTGAACCGTTACTCTGTCCCCCTCTCGACTTTTTCCACTTCGATGCTCCTTCCGCTTTGTGAATTGATTTTTTCCACTTCGATGCTCCTTCCGCTTTGTGAATTCCGAAGTCAACTAAAGGGCTAATGATAACTATCAAAACGCCCGCCATTTGATATAAATAAATATTCAAGGCAATTTTTAAGCCACTAGAGCCCCTTATTTCGTCGCAACGGTCATTATTTTATGGAAGTATACACAAAGCAGTGCATATTCAAATTAAGTATTGATATATATTCCACTCCAGCTATTTATTTTGAGAATAGTAGTGAAAACTTTGTAGCCTTCAATCTGAATTTCATTTTATAGAAGTCGGAGCAGTTCCGCACTCAAATAATGATGAACGTGCGCTTATTCCTTAGGTGACGGCTCAATTTCCATATCAATTAGATATTTTACAAGCATTTATTCGATCATCTATTCATTATTTAACATTATTTACTCATAGGTATTTTCACACCTTGACACAAAAACCATTTTTAAACATAATAAATGACAGATTTTATGGTAGCTATCATTACCCCATTAGTTGACTTCTGGCTTCCCAGTACCTTTGGATTTCTGTTGCTGTTGTGGACAAGAGAGAAGACTGGGAATGTGCTTGTTTGAGAAAGCAAGCACGCTATTCCACAAGGTTACATTTCGGAAATCCGGCCGTTTGAACAATATTCGGGGACATGAGGAGAGCAATAGACTTACCTCTACCCTGAACAACGTATACTCATAGGGTGAAAGAGTCTTTGAAACGACGGTTTACTCCAGATTACCATGAACATTTTCTATCATAAAATGTGGGTCAGTTCTATATACTCGCGTATATTTAACGATTCCCAACTACTTCAATGAATTCATTGTTAATTAAATTCCTTCGAATTCGCTTTTATTTAATTCTTTTTCCCACCTTCTCCATATAATCACAGTTCATTTTTAATATCGTAAATCATTGCTTTTAACCATCAGTAATTTTCACTCACTCTAAGATTAAATGTACGCTAGTTTTTTATTAAAAACTCGAAAGTTTGAAACTTTCTGACTTATTAATCATTTAAGATGCTCTTTCCTCCAATTTCTCATGAATTTTGAATGTTAATTTAGTGGGCAGCTGCCGTGTTAATTAAAAAATGACATATTATTTAACGACTCGGTAGTGTCTGATTTTTGGCAATTCGTCATTTTATTACAAAAAATTATTTATGTAATAAAATGAAAACATAGATCCAAAGAAAAACTTATAAATAAAAAATGAAATTTCAAAATTGCCATCGAAGATTTTTTCGGAGAATTTAAAGTTTATTGTTTAATACAATGCAATATAATTAGCATAGGGATATAAAATCTCACTTTATAACGATTGACTTATAAAGTATTCAGCTTGTGTTATTTAATTATGTAATTATATTTATAACAGATAAGAAATGCTTGTAAAATAAAATCAAGAACTTAATTTATTTTGAGACGGGAAAAACAAGTTTAATTGATCGTCTGATATGGTGCTGATAATTATGATGTCATGGGCGCATATTTAGTCACCAAATGCGATTTCGGGTGAGCTGGCCCATCAAAAACTACCAACTTTTGCTTGGTTGAGAGGTCACAGCACTTGTGACCTCAGTTACTTTCTAACGCGATGAGCAACACAGTCACAAGTTTCAAAATGTTAAAGAGTGCATATGATCACTAGGTTTAACGGGGTCATGAATAGGCAATCCACATTAGTTCTTCTCTGGAGCTGTGTAAAGATGTCAAAATAGGTAGAACTAGAAAGGTTTCGCTAGATAGGCATAGTGCCCATATATGGCCAGTTGAAAGGGGAGATTGTCTCTTTGACCACAACGAGTGCGAGAATCTTGGGATCGCGATATGCAGGAAAGACAATTAGGCAATAATAATAATAATAAAGGGAATAATTTTGAAATTAATTTTAAAATTCTGTTTGCGGTGGCATATAATATAAGCGTTTTCCTCGTTTTCAGCTCTTACTCACTATCCCTTTGGATCTTTGATTACCTTTTGAGAAAAGGGCTTCCCCCTTCAAATGATTGCAAATTTTAGTTGTCCGGAACATTTGGGAGGCCATCAAGTTAAAGAATCATTCCTTTTTTGTTAAACGAATATGTACAATAATCTTTCCATTTTAGTAGTAAACTTGCAGAATAACTTCGAACACAGATTTCATGAATTTTTCGAATAAATACATCTCCAGCTCCCTCCATACTTTAAAAATTGCAACATATCCCTCCTTCGGACTGTTTGAATCCAGTTGATATGGCTGCTTGTGATACATAGTGTTGAAGTAGCAATGAATAATATGCTCAAAACCAAAGTCCTATTATTATTTAATGTAACTTCAGCTGGAAATGTCAAAACTAGCTAGAGATGCTGGAACTATATATATATATATATATATATATATGAAGAAAGACAAAGTTAATGCGTTTAATCACTTAAAATTCAATATGGAATTTAACATTTTCACTTTCATAGCCTTACGACTTTAATAAAATTCATCTTTTAATGTACCAAATGTTAGGGGGCAGTTTCTTGAATTTTTTAAGCCAGGTGGTTTTATATTAAGTCATTAATCGACAATATATTGTTCAGAGGATCTCATGTTTAATTTTAAAATAAACATACACGGATTTACTAAATTTTTATGGTGCCTTAATACTTTAATGCGATACAGATCGATTTTCAATTATATTTCTATTAAGCAAGTGATTCGACTGACAAATGTATTTAATAAATAGTGAGTAAGTAGATTATTTCAAATGTAATTTCATATTTAAAAATACTATGATATTTAGATCTCCACAGATCGACACGTCTTATTGCTCAAATAATATTATGACTTTGAAGTGAAAATTTATAATCTCCTAGACATTATCTGAAATTTAAAATTTTCGTGACCAGCATAATTTTATCAATCAATCAAAAAATCTCTATTTTTTACACTTTTATTTTGTGCAACCAATAAACGATTTAGAACCATCATCTACATGTCTTTATTTAATTATCCATTTAGAAATATTTTTGATGCAATTTGAAAAGAAAAAATTACATTTTACCTTAAAACAACTAAACATTTATGGTATGTATTTGCAGTAAAAGTACTGTTTATATATTTTCCTGAAGAATATTATTTAACTAGTGAATGTACTTTTACTAACTTTTGCCATATACTTCAGTGAAGTAATTCCCTTCAACCAATCCCGCTTCGAAAACGATGCTGATTTTCATTGGACGGTTTGAGTCTAGAAATCACCAAAATTCACTCAGTCACAAAAGTAGGCACAGACGTGGAGTATTTTAGCCCGTTTATAAATGGTAAACAACGTTTTGTACCCCGATTTTGACTTTTATTGGTTCTGAAATAATTAAATGAGTACCTTATGATTTTTTAACAGCACATATTCATTGACGAACTCTGTTTTGAATTGATAATTTCTCGTGCACAGTAACGCGTTTTATGATGTTTGCATTAAATATTTTGATAAAACACGAACTCAAAACTGTTGAATTCAATTCTGATCGAAATATAAAAATTAAAGAATATAATTTTTCGTTTTTTTTTAAATAGTGCAACTTTTGTGAATAAATTCAGAGTATGATTTGAATTTCATTAGAAATCGAAATTAAATGATTTGAAGAGTAATATTATTCTTCCAGACTTAATTAGAAGTTACAGGTAGGAAAAGCAATTAAATATCGCTCTCAGACTAATAGCATGCAATAAAGTTATATATCCATTATATTATTATTATTCACTGCCAAATGTAATGATTAGAAAAAAACATTCTAAACAAAAGTTTTTCAGTTTTTGAACAGGTTCGATTTTAACGAACATTTAATTTTCATTTTATTCTATTTAATAATAATACTAATTAACAGTTAATTCCATTATTCATTCGATTCTGTCTATTATTACAGTAGTCAGTATGAAAAATGTTGTGATAACATTTCGTTCTAAATTCACCATTCCCTGAATAAGCACTATGTTTTCTAGCCAGTTCAAATTCAACTTTCCATTTCCTTGCTAAATTTTTTATTCACAGGTTTCAATGAAATAAAGAGGAGGACAAATTGTGTGTGTTTAATTGCCTATTTTATTTGTTTTAGAAATGCCTCCATTAAGGACTTTCGTCCCACAGGAAGATAGAGCCGTTGGTTCAAAGCTAGGCACAGAAGCACCGGCAATTGTGGGATCAGTTGTGTCAGATGAGGAAAGGGAGCATTTAGCTCTGCCCACATACAGAATCCCAACTACTCCTCTTCCCTATGATCGGCATCCTTACTATGCTTCATTGGCGTCAACACCGTCTCCCGTCACTAAAAGTATGGTGTACTTTATTAAAATCTTTACTACCAAATTTAACACTTTGTCATACAGAGAATTTCGACCCTTAACCTACTATCAGTAGGTTTTGTAGATTTATCCCTGTATGTGGGACAGTTTGCCAATTTGGCAGGCGATTGGAACCTTAAAAATAACAATACAATTGAGTTTGCTTTTTAACTTAAACTAATAATTTCCGTTTCTAAAGAAAATTTAAAACCCATATATTACATGTTTAAATACTAATTAACGCTTAATAAATTTAAGCGGGAAGTCGGTCATGACATCAGAGTAAACATTTCAGAAGAAGAATTTACTTAACTTTCATTTAACTTTTTATTTCCAACTTAGGGTCGGACCAAATTTTATTTGTGAAATTTTGTACTTTGGTTTAAAAGAATACTTATCATTTATGTTTTCTCAAAATATGGAAAAGTAGTTTGTTAAAAATGCTAATAGTGGATTGTTATGCAGATCTACAATTAGGAGGCACAGGTTTGTTGTTGAAAGTCAAAATTGAAGTTTTGATAAAACACTGACTTCAAAATACTCCATTTAAAATTCTAATTTTATTAATGAAGTAAAACACTTAACAAAATTATCGTTATTGAGGCAACGTCTTCTAATATTTTAGATTTAGGTGCATCGAAGTATCTGATGATAATTCTAGGCGTTTGCTTAGGATTGATATTTATCTTCTATTTGGGCAAAAAATGTCTTCCAAGACGTAAGAAGAAGTCCAAAAAGGGCCTCAACGTGGAAGCAGATGACAGCAAGGCCATCAAGTTTGCATCTTCATTGAACAAACAACTCGTATGTTTCAAATCTTTGTCTCAACGACTAGCTAATTAACTTTACAAATTCAATGAAAGAAACGAAAGATAACTTTTCCAGAAGCTAAGACATGACGAAAAATTTCTTTTACTGTCTTGAATAAACGCTTAAATAAAAATAGCAGCTTTCGTTTAATTAATTTTGTCAATTTAAAAGCACTTATAATTTTTCTTTAATTAAATAACGAATGTTCTGTCAAATTGTCTACATTACAAATAAAAATAATAGTTCCTACACCATTTGTAGGATATTTTAACAATTTGTTATTTGTAATATAAATCATTTAAAATTTATTAATATCGACCTCAATCGCGTTGTCAGACGTAGGATTACTTCAGAGATAGTTTGCAATGAGAAATAATAATGATAATAATTTTTAATTATTTCACTAAAATTTGAAGACATGGGGAACGTGATATATTTTGTCAATGGCCTCAACAATTCTCTGTTAATAAGCTTCATATTTGTGATTGATCTAGCGCAAATTTATTCAAAATAACCGGTTGGGTCTCCTTAGGTCTGAATTCAAATCGAAAAATGCCTTTTTTATAAAAGTGTTAGGAAAAGTACTTAAAAATAGTGCTTATTTTAAGCCCTTAATACATTCGGAGTTTTTAACAAATTAATTTGTATTAATTCTTAAATAGAATTATTCTTGAAGATATTAATTCACCAAAGTTATTCTTCACTGACAAAGCAGTGTTAACAGAAATTCGGTCATGATCTAATAATATCGCCAATAGTTAGCTTTATAAAAAATGCGCTTAATATATTAAGTTGCATTTTTCGAATAGTATTAGCACTAAAGTTTATACTGTGTAAATTAACTTTTTTCATATCTGTAGTGATTTCTTGATATTGTTTTGCTGCTCATTCAAACGCCTCACTCTGTTTACAACATTTTCAGGAGGATACGCAAGTTTTGACCGACAATATGGAAGAGGATGAGAAAGAGAAAGTTGAGCTTGGATCTTTACAGTACTCCATTGAGTTCGATTTTCAAAAGAATGAAGTAAGTTGTACTGTTCTATTCAATTTATTTTCTACCCTGCTAGCATTCCATTTACTTGCGCGATGCTATCTTATGCCTAGTAAAATCATAGTCAATTCTCAGTGATATCCAATCATAGCATCCAATTTACAAGACTACGGGTATAAAATAAAGCGAGCCATTAAAGCCGCATTTTATGGGTGCTGGAAGAGCTTTTAAAGCACAAGCTTATTTACACTCCTTTTGCGGTGTGTGCATTGAGTTTCCGGGAAAGCTGAGAGCAGAAGGGAAATGGAAGGCCATATTTTTTTGCTCCGAAATATCTGATTTACTTACATCAATGATTCTGGCAATTGCTATTGTGCCTTCGGGCTAAAAGATTAAAATTGAGTTAATGCAAATATTTGTTAACTTCTAACTCAAGCTGAAGGCGATAATCAAGCGAAGAGTATTTATTAGGTCTTTTGGTCTGATGAAAGTGATTATATCAAATACCATTCAATCATATTATTGATGACACAAGATAAGTTAAATTGGGAACTCAAACAAGCAAAATTAAAAGTTGCTAAAATTAATATCGCTTTTGGAAGTTGTAATTTGACTTGTCTTTGCCAATTTTGCTTCCCAACCAACTCCAGAATCTGTTTTTTTCTTTTTTCGATTTGATTGCGCAAACAGGCTTCTTTCCAACAACTTGTATGTTGCTAAAAATATATTAAAAGTTAATTTGTAAGTAAAAATTGAAGGCAATTGTTATTTTGATTTAAGTTTAGAGTCATTTAAAATACAACTATGAGTTTAATGAACGGAAATAAAATCAAATAATAATATGTCAGGAAAACTGACAGTTTGTATAAGCATAGGGAATGTTTAGAATTTCGTTTCCTTTAGCTGACAGTTGGAATTATTCAAGCTCGAGATCTTCCAGCAATGGATATGTGCGGAACATCAGATCCCTATGTTAAAGTCTTCCTTCTACCAAACAAAAAGAAGAAGTTCGAAACTAAAGTTCATCGGAAAACACTGAATCCGGTCTTTAATGAGAGTTTTATCTTCAAGGTGAGCCCATCTATCTTACTGTCAAACTATTCAACTTATTGATTTCCTATTTAAGCTATACCAATTATGATACCTACATTATTATCAAAATACTAAATTTTTTATTATGGTAGCAATCGAAATCAATCACTAGAAAGCCCCAATAATTTTTTAAATGTGGAGAGCAACAACGAGGTATTAGAGTCTCGGTGGATTTCATTTGTCGATTTTTGATGAAAAGAATTTACTGAATGGTTATGCACGTTCTAAAGTTCAAAGTTAATCAACTGTTTCGGGGTTGATGTGAATGTGTGGCTAAAATGCTTAGGAGCGCGTTGGCCGGTTCCTTGAAACAAGAAGGGTCGGTTTTGCTTCTCAACCTCGTCCGTATTCCTGATGGTCAATGAGACAAGATGAGCTTTTAAGACGTTGAATTTACCATCAAGAAGGCAGAGTTGAGTTAGCTCAAAGAAAATCGTTTACGTTCCCTTAATAATTCCTCAAATGAGCCCTCAGATACTTGATGCTTGATAAATTTTTGCGTGATTGATTTATACTTTCATGACCTTTTGAGCCGTGAGTAGAAGCTGATTGATATTAAAAACCTTGTTTTATAATTTCATTGCAATCAACAAGTTCTTCTCTGGGGCATAACCAAGAGACCCCAGTAGCCTGATTTCCCTCTCCTTAGATTTTGCTTGTTGTCAAACACTCTTACTTCCTGTCTAAACAGTCAAAAGTAAGAGTGATTGAAGGGAATGATCAACTGCTGATAAGACCCTATTTGAATTCACGTTTCTGCTTGGCTGCTTCAATTGTCGCAATTGTGAGTCTTACCCCCTTCCCAAAGGAGACATTAGGAATAATTAAGCAAGGCATGGAATGCCTTTGTGTACCAAATCTATAAGTTAAATTCCTAGATTATTGTAGTCATAATAGCATTGAATGTATCTGATGAATATACTCACAAGCCAATAAGCTCAAAAATAAGCTAAAATACCTTAAATTTAAGTGTGTATCGCAATCACCCCAATGTTAATCTAAATCAAATTCATTGGCTAATTAGCCAAAATTGCCACTTGATTATAATGCTACAAGATAGGATTAACTGTACAATCTAGGTTCGTAAATTGAATTCGCTCGTGACTGGAGACATCTAATGAACTCATTTGTTGCGTGTTTACAAATATGCTTCGTGTTTACAGTATTTAGAACTATTTATAACTTTTAACGTAAATCATGCTATGAGGACTGAATTTTTAATTTTGCCTAAAATTTGTTTTCTGTGGCAAAATGATACTGCAAATAATAAAAGTTAACAAACTTAAAACAAAATAAATTGAGTATTTTAGGCTTATAAATCTGCACACTGGGGTGAAAGAGTTTAAGGACGTTATCTTGAAGTATCATCTGAAGGCACAAATGTCAGAATGTCAAATACATTAACCCAAATTATGAAACCATTTATTTCACCTCTTTTTATAAAATTATAATGCAATCCTTAATATTAAGCTATTGTGAATTTTAAAAATTGGATTTTTTCCCAGTTCGCGAAATTTAAAGCTTGTTAGTTAAACGTCAGAATATATTTAGCGTATGTGTTGAAGTTTGGTTGAACATGAACATAGAACAGACGTCTAAGGATTCCTTTCGTTTGACAGAAGATTAGTTCAATTAAAAATTATATTAGAAAAATGAATTTTTCTGTTTGAAACCAGGATGTGATCAGAACTTATTTCATTTCAAGCTAAAGTTGAGAGCATGAAAAGAAATCGATGATACAAAGTTGTAATAATTCAATTAAAACTAAATTTTGGGAATAAAGCATGAATTGTGTTTTCTGAAGACTCAATCTGTGAACTCGAAAGAAACTTATAGATTTCATCACCCGTGCATTGAATTGCAGAATATCAAATTCCTGCATTTACGCCTGGATATATAAAATAACATATGGAAAAATGATAACTGCAATTATTGGCCAGCTGGCAGCTAATTATTTATTATATACCTAATTCTATATAGGTTAATTTATTTTGTTAATAATTAAACCACCATTTGAGCTGAAAGTCTTCTTCTTTCCACTTCGCATAATCTAATTATCAGCAGCTATATTACAGCGGAAAAGAAGGCAATAAAAGAGAGTGGACTGTGATTATCTGCGGAAATTGAAAACCAAATACAAAATCCTCATTTTTGAAAAGAACATCTGATTTTCAGAGGAATGGAGGCCACATTTATAGGGACTAAGAGGATTCAAAAGGAGAGTGCGAAGTAAAATCTTGAGGCGAAAATTTTGTCATTTCGATCCGTCAGAAGTCGAACGTGGTAGATTTGCAGGAGAAAATATTTAAATAATGCTAATGTGTTCAATTTTAAGCTGCCGTTTTTTCTACTAATTGACTTTTATATTTTTATCCTGAAAATCGGTATTTTCAAATGAATTTCCAGTCCCTTTAACAATTTTCACATTGGAATAGAAGGACAGTTTTACTTTCTTTGCCCAGTGCCTACAGCGTTGAATAAATGATTGAAGCATTTTGTCATTTCAAATCCGACAGATAAATTAAAAATTAATAGTTCCACTTTAGCGATCGTATTAAAGCTAAATAAAATTCGAATTTCATCTTGCAGATAGTTCTTGATTTACATATTTGTTCTCATTTTCATGCCAAATTTCTTGCAGCAAAATATTTGGCTTTATTGTCCCTAGATTACCAATGAGTTGCCAACAATAATCCTGAAACCACAACTTGAGAACTGTGGTAAAAAGAAATCAGGGTGTTCTGGGAGATTACTTTGAAGTATGTAGATTTTATGACCTCAGATTTACAACAGAGATATGAGGTTCTCATTTCGTTTTAAGGTTGGATAGATTCCACATGTGCTTCGTTTATTTTATTAAATCATCAGTAATACAATTAAGTGAGACCATTATTTTAAAAAAATATATTATATTATCTACTGAAGCAATGCGAAAATTCCACCAATTTCTAACATAAAAGGTCACCGTGAATAGTTAATTATAATTCATTAATGGACAAATCTAACGAGTGTAAACTGGGTCTGTGGAATAATTATTTTTTTCTAATTGCATCATAATAGGTGGTTCACATCTAACCTTTCAAAGTTTAGATATCATAATAAAACACGCATTGACCATCAAAGTTTTCTTATTGACTTCATAATAGCAATACAATGTCAAATAGTCGGTTTAGAAAACGATAATTGAAGTAACATGATCTAAGTAGCCTTTTGCGACTATTACTTGATAATCGGATTTGTTATAGTCAATGTTTTGCAAATTTTCGAATATATATATATATTTTATAGTTTAAAGTTGCTTTGCATTATAGACACTGATATTTTACATAAAATCAATCGTTTAGTCCACCAATTCGTTTCCTTGCGTTTTTGAATAACTAAGAGCGGTTAGTAATTCGTTCTACTAACATTACAGTTGCCATATGCCGAGATACCCGGTACAACGCTAGTGCTCTATGTCTACGACTTTGATCGATTTTCAAAACACGATCAAATTGGTCAATTGAAGATTCCCCTCGGCTCTATTGACCTGTGCCAAACTCTGGAAGAATGGCGTCCCATTGAACCTACGGACGCAGAAAATGAAAAGGTATTTTATAATTTAATTATTTCACGTCTCGTTTTGCAAATTATTCATAACCTCCTTGTATTTTGATTAGATTTATTTCTACTAAATGATAAATTTTCGTTTTTTGAAATCCAAAATAGGTAGATTGGAAGCCATTCTATTTCTATTTGAATTAACGGAACACAGTTTCTAATTTTCGTTAATCTTTTAGTATTTATTATTTATAATTGCCCCTGTTCAATATAAAGTTATATTCATTCCTTAATATTTTAAATGGCGTTTTTAGTATCATAAAAACATTTTTAACAGGGTGTTTCGCCCAATTCACTAATAAACAGCGATGTTCTTGAAAGATTAGGACTTATCAATGAAATTAATTGGCTCTTTTATGACTAATTAGTTACGATAACTTGAGTCTAATACGCATTTCTGTTTGTGTTTTTAAAACGCGATTGAAATAAAATATGTGATGAATGCTCTCCGTTCTATACTTTCATGGCTTTGCGGTTTGTGAATCGTTTCTATATGCGAAGTGATTTAAAAGAATTTCCAAAATACCTTTTCAAAATTCTTTCAGTAAGTAAGCCACTTTGATAAATTATTTATCATTTTTGGTCTAGCTTTGTTGACTTACTGGGCAATAAACTAAAAAATTTTAACAAGTTAAATTGTAACGATTAGTGAAAGCTACTTGATTAAATGAATTCATTTCAATGTGCCTTTCTAATAGACAATTCTGTATTTTCGATTTAATAATAATGGGAGCAGAGACTACTGACAATTCGTTTTGTATTTTTTAGATGAATACTTTAAACTCCATTCAATTAGGAAGGAAATATTCAATTTCTTTACTTTAGAGGCAACATTTAATAACCATTTATCCCTTGAAATGCCAAGAGCTAACGATTTTTTTCAATTAAACCTGTTTGCTTTCTGGGTTGGAGCCCAGCTACAAGTGCAAAGTGTTTAGCAAAATGGTTACTGGGTCAAGGGTTGAGTTAAGAATCTCTCAATATGAACTATGGAAAAGTTAGGGATTGGATTTTGAAGGTCAGACTTTGGTTCAAGTTCACGCTATTCGCATAGCGTTAAGCTGTGGCTTAAGGGTGGATCGATCTTAAAAACTAAAGTCATTTACTGAAACTACATTTTAAATAAACGCAGATATATACTACCCAAGGATCTAAATTTAGTTAGTTTCAAATTGTTTTCTGTCGAAATTTCGGCTTGTCAAATCAATTCGCCAGTATATCATGGATTTGTGCGAGAAGGCAATCTTTAACCTTGGGTATACTGGTGAAATACTGCTTTTCTGTCAGCTTTTAATCGATAAAGACTCTTACTACACTTTAATCATCATGTTTTCTCCCACAACACCAAATGTACATCAATGCGAAAAAGTTGTACAGACGATGGCGGTAGTAAACGATTAGAAGCTGGCCGGCAGGCAGCAGACGATGCGAACATAGAAAGCATTTTTCGATTGAGTCACGCATTCGTGCTCCTGCCAAGCTACTCCGAGCGGGGGGGGGGGGCAATAAATCAAAGTTGACTTCCACTCTGTCTCCCTGCTTCGCTGCCCTTCCTTTTCACTTCACTTCCTCTTTATGTACTTGTGGGAGTTTGCTGATCATCACTTTATTCCCGCGCGTAAAGCTAAAAGCTCCTATGTTTGCTATGACGAGACTTCGTCCAACAATTAGTACACTTTAAGCCCTTCAGAAGTAGACGGACGGTTTAAGGGCAATTTAAAAATTAATAACATTATATTATTTGAAGCCATATTTAAAATGTCATTCATTCGAATGAATTAACGATTGTTGATCAGACATGCTTCGACAATAGTGGCAAAGTTTGGTGCAAAATATAGAATTGAGACGAAGCGAAGTATACAAAGGGGTCGTTTGCTCGATGCAAGATCTATTTTGCTTTATTAAACGCGCCAAGAGTCTCTTCATAATTTCTTGAGACATATTACAACTTTCGTTTGAAGTTCAATCTCTAAACATCCGCACTATGAGCGAAGTTTATTTATTTCAAATGGCAGGCTTTATGATATTTATCATTAGCCCTTAAACTTTGACTTCAGCTTCCCCCAAGGTCGGGGGGTACATATATAGCAGTTAATTAATAGCAGTTCATTATCTGTCTTCTTGCTTCCCAGTATCTCTGGCTTTCCGTCGTTGTCTTTAGAGCTGGACACCGAATCAGGTGGGTCTTCTCCATTTCCTCATGTAGGTTACATAGAGGGCATGTGGGTTGAGTGTATACTCCCAATCTGTGAAGGTGTTTGGCCAGGCAATCGTGTCCGGTACATAGTCTAAACTCAGCAACGGCTTCGATTCTTGGCCAGTGGGCTATGTTGGGGAGTGCCAACTATGAGCGAAGTAGAATCTGATTAACAGTAGAGAAACTTTGATTTAATTTTTTGTTTCATAGTAGTCCATTTTTCAAATCATGTCAATATCGCCTGGACGCACAAATTGTATTAACTTTTCTGAAGAGTCAGCTCTGGCCTACTCGAAGGAATGTGGTGTTTGAATTTAACACCACCATTTCCTTTTTGATTAGCGCCTCCATAAGCAACTAACTTATAAAATTAAATGAATTCTTTGTAGTTGGCGCAAAGAAATGCCATTTTTTTCCATATTCATCTTGGTTATGTCGGGGAGAGTTGGTGGGCGGCACCCGAATTCTCATTCTATTCTTCATGTGTAATTCACACAGTTCATCACGAACTTGCTAGTTTCTAAGCAAATCCGTTGTAAGTTTAGCGGGGACTTGCTTCAATCAGGTGTTTTAAAACGCCAGCTTCAAAATTCGCCCCCCATTCTGACTTTTGAGAAGCATATAAAGCCCAACCCAAACTTGGCATTGGCGGGAGGGTGGGGGCTATTAGGACTTATCCCTAAATTTTAGTAATGGCCTTAGGAGTGGCGTTTTTTGGCGTTCAGGGGCTTGTGAAAGAAAGGCTGCATGCAATGTCCCTCTGATGTGTCGGCTTTGGGGCTGGGCATCTTTTTGCCCTTAACAATAAAATTAAATTCGCACCAACAAATTTCAAACGACTTGTCAATTTATGAAGAGCACGCTCGGTGTTATTTCTTGTGCCCTATCTCCATACAAACCGGACAATGCTCGATTTCTTATCGGTTTAACTAAAGCATGAAATCTAATTTTGTGCAAAGTGGCCTTGTTATCAACTCAAAAAAAATCAAAATTGAAAAGGTCCTCCTACGTATTAACAAATGTTTCAATACATTATGAAAAGTTTCTCCTCAGTATTTCATTTAATTTTATGTTTGTCAATTTTCAACATAAAAATTAATTCCTGGTTTTCATAATATTAAATTTTAAATTTATTCCATTTGATATTCTTGAAAACTTAAATAACTTTATTTTTTATTCTTTTAGGAGAACAGGCTTGGCGACATTTGTTTCTCTCTTCGCTATGTTCCCACTTCAGGGAAATTGACAGTCAACATACTTGAGGCGAAGAATTTGAAAAAGATGGATGTTGGCGGTTTATCTGGTAATGTTATTAGTATCTAAATTAAAATATTCATGCAATGCCACTTGAGTAATACCATTTGCTGTCCTTTGTCATTTGGGCTATATTTTGTTTAGAATGGGTTTTTCCGATTTTTGTCTTTGCTAAGCAATATTGTGTATAATCATTTATCTATTCGCGACATATAGTACACATATTTTAGTTTTAATCTCTTATTTAAACTTATTTTCCGTACAAATAAATAGAGAATTTTAAGCTTTTTTCTTCTTAAATGGTTCAATTATTCCATTATGACTCAAGTGGTTGATATGTGCGAGCATTTCATGGGGGTGAAGTTGATAACTAATTCCCTCGATTTTATACTAATTTCTTCCAAAACTTTCGTCTATCAAACAATATTCCACATGAATTTTATTTACATTCATCCAAGTCAGTTTAATTTCATTGTAATTAACACTATTAACAGTTTGAATATGCCACGAAGTATGAAACGAAACAAACATATCGTCTTTGCATCCTCCTTTTAGACCCTTACGTGAAGCTCTCATTGATGCTCCAAGGAAGGAGAATTAAGAAAAAGAAAACAACCATTAAAAAGTGTACCCTCAATCCATACTACAACGAATCCTTCTCGTTCGATGTTCCCTTTGATCACATACAAGTAAGTGAATCAATTTTTCCACTTTGGAAATACGAAACAAAGAATTGGGGAATCCGTTGCAAACAAACCATCTGTTGTTTAGTGCTTGTGAAAGCGAAACCATATGCCAGATGGGCTATTCATTTTAGATCCTTGAGTTCAAGCAGAACTAATGTCATTGCTGTGAATTTGAGCCTAAAAAAACATTGCGTCTCTCTATGCTTTTTTTCTAAACCCTTTACCAAATACTAGTGATATTAATGATAGTAGCTTGATTCTCAAAATGCGTGCAGATTTAGCCGATCAATTTGTACAAAAGCTACCTAAAATTCTAACTGCATGTCAAATTTAGTTGGAAATCGATTTCATAAAACTTTAACTCGCTGTTGATAGGCTTTTCTTAGAATTAAAATAATAATATAGTCAAATATCTGCCCCCGGTGAAGGAGGGAATTTACGGAAATGACTAACCTCGGGTGGGATATAAAAACAGGCATGTCTCCGCTAACTGAATTATCTAGTGGTCCGTGGTCTTCATACTGACGTGCTCTCCTATTGGCACTACTGTGCCTGTTGGCATAGCTCACTTCCAATCGTTTAGCAGTAAAGTACTTACTGGCTTAACTCCGTATCATATATTTTCAAGTCTACTATATAACTGGAATAAATCGAATGAGGTTGGATTTTACAATGAGGTCTTTGTGTCCTCATAACAACAACAGATCTACAAGGGGGTCTTGTTCACTAAAAGCTACTAAAATGTTGATAAAGTAATATGCTACAGGTAGTGTTCTAATAGTAAAACTCTGCAGTAGTTTTTTTATATTATATAGAATGAATTAAATTAAATAATTATTTTCGAAGTATTGAAATTTGGCATCTTCAAAGATAATATTTGCGCAAATTCTAAGAATATCCCGTTTACGGACAGGCGGGTTGTCAAGTAAACTTTTCACCAGGAGGAATTTCATCTTCTCGTTGCACTTTTTGAAGACATTTTATAAAAAACGATTATGATAAATTGCTACATAAACTCCATTTACTGCATAAATTAGAGGACTGAACACATATATATATGCGTGTGTGTGTGTCTCAATTCAAACAACTTTGCCTTTATAGGACAAAAGCATAGAGTTTTAGTAAAAACAGCTCATCAACAAATGAACATCTTTTGCATAAATTAACCCGGAAAGAGCTAATAAATCCTGGTTTATATTTTTGTATTTGTGTTTTCAAGCTATTGAATTTTAATTAATATGTAGAAGTAGGAAGCAATTTGGGGTTTTAATTTCAGCTTGTTCGGTAAAAATTAGTTTTAGTGTTAGGGTGTTAGGTGGTGAAATTTAAACTTAATCAAAGATCAATTTCGTTTGTAACTGTCATTTTTAATTTATTACAAATATCTCTTAGATAACGTTATGCTTAAACAAAATGGTGAAAAGATATTTAAAAATGCGCTTAAGATATTAAATTTTAAAAGGTCATTAGGAGATGTTCGATTACATATTAAATTTAGATCATTAGCTTAAAATGTATTAAATTCGAATTTTCAAAGGAGTTCCAAACTGCTTAATGCAACTTTTAGAACAGAGATGAAAAGTGTTTTGGGTGTATTTCAGGGCTGAAACACCGAATGGTTGACAAATGGATGTCAGCTTTCAATTGTTATTTCGTGTTCTGTTCATGATTTTAGATTAGTTTAGCTTAACAGATTGAGGGTGATTGGGTCACAGTCATTTTTAGAGACATCCTAGCAAAGCTCTTTAATTATATTTGACATTAACTAATTTGCTCCCGAAAATAGCACATAAATGCCTTGAAGATGAATACAAATTTTCATTTACGATGATCTTCAGCCCCTTGACCTATCGGCCTTTAAAAAATACGACACTTTTGCAAATAACTTTTAAACAATGTCTTACTGGTTGCAAATTGTTCCATTTAACCTAATGATAACAATACCAAGACGCACTCATGAACAACTTTTCTGCTTGAGAAACTAGCCTCAAACAGTCATAAAATGTGCTCATATGATCAGTAATCCTTCCACAAAGACAATAATAGTGTTATTAAGGGGGTATTCTGGTCTAGAGACATGAATTTTAGGTCGTTTTTGAAGTGCTGTAAAAAGGCAAGCAATATTTTATTATCAATTTTTTTATATACTATTTATTCACCTTAGAAGCATACAAAAAAATAAAAAAATAAAAAACTTTAAAATTCCGTTAGTTATCAGCTGATGGAGTGGGGCGTCCCAAAAATATGGAGCATGACTATACCCACGATTTTAACTCTCCGAGCAATCTGAAATCAAAATAATAAAAAAATATTTTCAATTTACAATTAAGTCGCTATGTCCGAAACTACGGAAAAGTTTTAGATATATTTTTTACAAAATGGCGACTGTCTAAAGAAAAAAACCATTTTTGTACCACTTTTTTGAACATTCTTCGATTTTTTAAAAATAGTAAAAAGTAAAATTTGGGGATGGCCGTAGTTCCGGACATAGCCAAGTTCCTCTTAAAATTTCAAGTAAATCGGTTTTGGCAGAATTTGCGAAATCGTGGGTATCAGATTCAAAAAAACAGTTCTAAGAAAAACGCGTTCAGAGTTTGCAGTAAAATGTTTTGCAGTCTAAGTCATAAAATTATATTTTTAACTTACATTTATTCAATCTGCCATTCCTGCTGCATATATCGGACCTTCCTCGACTTCGAAAAACTATTTTCGGCTTCTTTGTTTTCTATTCGAGCAGTTCTGGCCTCCTTTGATGCGCTGGATGCTCGTATCTCGGAGCGGTCAATCCGAGCGTTGTCTCCTCTGATAGCAAATGCATGCACTTCTGGACCAATTTTCACTCCCACTTCATTAAAAATACACACAGCAATAAATGTGGATATGCTTTGGAGCAAAAATCCATATCAGCGAGTTTAGAGACTCATTATTATTTTGAGTTTCTGAACCCACACATCGAATCAATAACTCTTCTGATGATAAACTTTGAAAGATTTTTCAACGAATGGACATGATGGAGTGTAGCGTAGACTATTGCAACTGCATTGAGGACATGATGGAGTGTAGCGTAGACTATTGCAACTGCATTGTAATGCAATTTTGAACCCTAGTCTGCATTGAGCCGTTCTTGAAAATATAATCTCGTTGTTATATGTAGTACACGAAATAAAAGAAGAAATCGCTGAAAAGACCATGAAAAACTCCAAAACACAGTAGCCTTAATTATTATCTATAATTACTTCTTCATCATTTGATTTCCCCAATTTTGCTGCTAATGCACTCGTAAAACTGGTGTTTTCTGTTCCGTAAATCAATTGCCGTGAAATATATATAAATATATATAGATAGACAGATATAACGAAACAAAAGGGCTTACTAAGAAATATAGTTTCAGGTAGTCGGAGAACCCATTATGTCTTTTGTTCGATTAGTTGCAGCCCAACCGATTTGGATCCCTCCTCAGCAATATACTTATATTTCCGAAACTATTTTGAATGTTGGAAAATCCTCTCGTAGACATATTCTTGAATAGTTAAACTATGAAAATATGCAAGAAAAATTTCAAAATTTTTTTCTAGACTAGAATACCTCCTTAAACAGTATATTCTATAATTGTTGAATAAATCACTAAAAGGAAAGCTTCTTGGTAAATTAAAATCACGATTTCAGAAAGTTGTCGTAAATTCAAGTAGCACTTTCGCTAAGTCAACTTAAAGTTATATTAATTAAAGAAAACTGTACACGTTATGAGACCTTTAGAATCGAATAATCAACGAAAAGTGCTTGGAATTGTGCGACCTAATCCAGGGAAGCTGTCATGGTTTTTGAATTATGGACTATGTGACAGTTAATTGCCTTCTAAGTGAATATGGACAAACCCTTATCAGAAATAAAATTAGGTCACACTTCTGGATATTCCCTTTTGATTTCTGATTTCGTTCCTGATTTTAGCTGCTTTCACACTATTCCAAATATGTATTATTCGTCTCACCTCCACGTGGTGCACCCTGGGCAACGTATATTCAT